CTCCTGTTCGGGCCGTCTGTCACACTTTTCAAACCTGCCTCGCTCTCCTGGGAAACAAACTGCACAGTACTGAGGCGGTGCTGATGCGTGGGACTGCTGACCTTTGGTTTGATCCCATCTGTGTGCACACATTGCTTGTTTCTACCCTTCAGGATGTGTAGATCAAATGGCGACTTAAAGACTCCCTCTGGGGGAAAATCAAGTTTTTCTTTTACATGTTGGAAGACACATCAAAGACGGAGTGAAGTAAGCAGTCAGTGCCGTGGCGGGGCATTTCTACCTTGAAACTGAGCGACAGTCTCAAAAACATTCCAGGGCTTCATACATAACAAGCATCAATTCTGTCGATGTGCAGGGTGGGGCTTTCTGTCTCCTTTTCTTTTTCTAAATTGGTTTCTAGTTCAAACATGTATGGCTGAATTACTTCTTGCTGTTGTGTACGGTGTTCGAGCAGAGTTGCAGGTGAGCTGGAGAGCTCAAGCTGCAGCAAGCAGGGAGAGCCTGGAGGGAATTGCTGGTGTGCACAGCCAGTTGCACAGAAAAACACATTTTACAGGATACAGCAGCTAGAATAGAATAGAATAGAACTTTATTGATCCCTTTGGTGCAAACCTCAGGGAAATGGTTGATAGAAAAAAAAAATCTAAATAAATAACGTTGATTCACAGAGAGACATTTTTAGAGGTTTAATAAATGACCAGAGAGGAACTCTAACTCACCATTAAAATGAGAGGCTGAGTGACAGAAACGTGTCTGCGTTGTTTTCTGCTTCATGCGTGTTATGATGATAGGAATAACTGCACACTTTGGAAAATATGTGAATGAGCTTTCTTACCATGAGGTATATCCAACACTACAACCATCAGCAGCTTATCTTTCCTGGTTTTCTCAGAGGTAACAAACTTCACCTACTATTACTTCTAAATGTTGCCACGTGTTTGTTTTTCTATTTTGGTGACAAGACTTAACTTTGGACAGAACCAGAGTAGCCATTTCTCCCCATTTTCTATTTTTATATTAAACCTTTTGAAAGAAGTGGTGCAAATTCTCTCATGTAACACTCAACAAGTAAGCTAGTATCCATATTTTACAGAATATAATCATATATCTGTGCGAATGTTTGGTTCACGTTTGGCTCGCAGATGAGAAAGCAATAAAAGACTAAGTGACATCCGTTACTTATCAGATATCTGAGATGCTAAAGTTCTTTGTTTCTGTCATCACTCTGTCCGTTAAGCCTCGGTCTCAAACAGCCACTTGAAACTTCAACAGAATCCTTCAACGCTGAATCCAAGTCAGCTGACTAAATGAGCCTTACATCCACTCCGTGTGAAAGCAGCGCGGCTTCGCCTCACGCCTGGCTTTCATTATGAGACGTTTCTGTTAAATGCACCACAACAGACACGAGGAAAAGACCGCTGGCACACACCACTGGTTTACCTAACGTCACCTAATGATGCATGCCTTGCATCCACGTAAGGCTCCGCAGTTAACACTAACTACTGCTATCGCACCAGAAAATGGAGGACAGATGCAGCCACGACAGCATGAGTGATGTGTGGTTTGAGACTTTTCTTTGCCTCCACTGTATTGTTTCAGCGGAGGATGGCCGAGCTTTAAGGGCGTGAGGGGGCCAGTTTGTGACCATCAAGAGGGGAAAAGTTAGAGAATTAAAGAGAGAAGGCAAGAGACAGACTGAGAAAGTGAACAATAGACAGTAAAGGATTTGTTTCTGATCATCTGATTGTCGTGTGTAAGTCCATCTCACAAAACTAACATCTTCCCAATTTCAGCTAAAGCACATCTGTATGTGATGCACACACACGGACTCAGCAGTGTTTTGTGCATGTTGTCTTGCTTTTTAAAATATTGAAATCAATATTAATTCTGCTAAAAGTGATGAAAAAGGATTGACAGCACTGCTCAATTTCTTAAAAGACTTCTTTTTCAGTTATAGATGACTCAAACTGAGCTTTCTAACCTTGTAACTTATCCTGTTGCAGTTAAGTCTCAGTCAGAATCCTGCTGCAGTGGTAGCTGCTTACAGATGAGC